AAAAAAAAAAAAAAAAAAAAAAAAAAGAACGGACCACTGACAAAGCCAGCAGCATGAACCTCACAGACCCAGAGATGCAATCTCCAAGCTAAGGATGATGACAGAGCTGTTGCACCTCCTGGCTCCTGCATCCCCAAATGACATCATAGATAAAGGACTCCTGAAAACTGTTGTTAAGAGAAAGAGGTGACATTACCTCTCAAATCAAAAGAGTTTGTGACCATCAGTTTACCCTGTGTTCACCTGCAGATAACAAAACACCAGATTCATCGGCCCATTCCTTTGACCAAGAATACCTTTTCTTATACTGATTGAAAAAGCAAAATGCATTCTTCTTACAGAACTTAATTTTTCTCTTGCAATGTGAGCTCTTGTCATCAAACATCTACTGAGGACCTGCAGCACAAAAACATGGTCCTAAACCCAGGGAACAAAAGATGTATAAGCAGCAGTTCCCTGACTGCCAGAGCTTCCAATCCAACAGAGGAGAAACTAGACAAATCTATGTCTTTCTGTATGCTAAATCTATGGCACTGTTAGAAACCTGGTAGGCAATAAACAGGCATCTATGAATGTAAGTTCATCCCATCTATCATACTTACTGAGTGAAAACATAAAACGGCAACCTCCCTCCTCGTTTTTAAAGACTCAAAATTGGTGTTCTGATGCTTGTCTACCCGTGTGTATAGTGCTCATGACACTTACTGGCTTTTGTTTGTTTTGTTTTCTTAAAAAAAAATCCTCTTCTTGGACTACAAACCCCTTGAGGAAATCATTCGCCCTGTGGTTACTTATTTTTCTTGGGGTTTAAAAGTGTAACATACTTTTCAGGCACTCTGTTGCCACCATAATCAATAAATGGCAAAAATGAAATTCAAAGTTCAAACTTTGGAATTGAAGAGATGCCTCAGCAGTTAGGAGCACTGACTGTTCTACTAGAGGCTCCAGATTCAATTTCCAGCACTCACACAGCTCACGACCATCTGTAAATCTAGTCCCACAGATCTGATGTTCTCTTCTGGCCTCTGAGGGCATTACATACATATAGTACACAGACATACATGCAGGCAAGACATCCATACACATAAAATAAAAACTCGTGGGGCTGGAGAGTTAGCTCAGTAGTTAATTGCCCTTGCTGCTCTTCCAGAGAATCCAAGTTCTGTTCTCAGCACCCATGCAGGTGCCTCAAAATCACCTGTAAATCCAGTTCCAGGGATGTGACATTCTTTTCTGACCTCTGAAGGCATCACCACATACATAGTACAGACTTAAACAGACAAAAACATGTAAATAAAAAATGTTTAATCCAAAATAAATTAAGTTGTAACTTGCAAGACAAAGTAATGCTACTCAGAAATAACATTAAAAAAAAAAAAAAAGACAGGGTATGTTACCAGAGGTCAGAGGTGCTGTCTGCCTTGGGTGCTTCCAGGTTCTTGGCCTCTTATTCACAAATTGCAAAGTAGTGAGGAAACTTTATCTAAAGCAAAGCAATAGAAAAAGATAAGTGTATACAGTAGGGGAACAACAGGCAGCTTGAGTGAAAATACTCATGGATCTCAATTACTGCTTGGAGCATTTTTATGGGGATCAAGAGAAGGAGTAATTTAGTTACTAAGGGATATTTTTTTAATTCTTTATTAATTACACTTTAGTTACTTTGTATCCCCCCTGTAGTTCCCTCTCTCCTCCGGTCCCAATCCCTCCCTTCCTCCACCCTCTGCATGCATGCCCCTCCCCAAGTCCACTGATAGGGGAGGTCTTCTTTTCCTTCCTTCTGATCCTAGTCAATTAGGTTTCATCAGGAGTGGCTGCCTTGTCTTCTTCTGTGGCCAGGTAATGCTGCTTCCCCCTCAGGGGGAGGTAAATAAAGAGCAGGCCAATCAGTTCATGTCAGAGACAGTCCCTGTTTCTATTACAATGGAACCCACTTGGATGCTGAACTGCCATGGGCTACATCTGTGCAGGGGTCTTAGGTTATCTCCATGCATAGTCTTGGTTGGATCAAAGACCTCAACATAAAACCAGACACACTAAAATTGCTTAGAAGAAAAAGTGAGGAAGAGCCTTGAACTCATTGGCACAGGAGACAACTTCCTGAACAGAACACCAACAGCACAGGCTCTAATCAATAAATGGGACCTCATGAAACTGAAAAACTTCTGTAAAGCAAAGGACACTGTCGTCAGAACAAAATGACAGCCTACAGATTGGGAAAGGATCTTCACATCTGACAGAGGACTAATATCCGGTATATATAAAGAACTAAAGAAGTTAAACAGCAAAAAATCAAGTAATCTAATTAAAAAATGGAGTACTAAGGGGTATTTTTATATCCTGGTTAATAGATTTGGATTATGTAAGCTTTGTTCCCTAATGCATCTTATTTTAATCATGTGCATGCCCCGTTAAGCATGGGCATAAAATGGCAAATAGAAAAGCCATTTGGGCACAATTGTCTTCTTGAGCATGTACCCAAACTTATTTGAGCTGGATCAGTCTTTCCATTTTGATTGAACTGAATCTGTCTAAGTTTGACGGGCATTAAAGGAGGAGAAATGAATCCCATTGTTCAGAAAGAGGTGTGCATGCAGCTGAATGCAGGTGGGAGGGTCCTTGCTGCTAGCAGGTTGCTAGGTACATTGTTAGAAGTGAAGCGTGTGTGCATTGTACAGGAAGGTAACAGTCTCAGACTGCTGAGTGTGTTATTATTGGAAAAGTGCTGTGAGTAAAACCCAGACTAATAAAGATCAATACTACTAAACTATCTCCTCTATTTCCCTGCTGCAGGAATGTAGCTCAGAACAGTGCTTGCCTAGCATGCATAATATTGTGTGTTTTACTTCTAGTGCCTCAAAATGGACCTGGCCTCACATCCTATCATCCACCTTCCTATAGGGAAGTGAAGGCAAGGCAAAACAAAACAAAAGCTAAAGTTCAAGATCATCTTCAGCTACAAAGAAAGTTTGGAGTCAGCCAGGGCTAGAGACTGAAAAAAAAAAAAAAAAAGACAGACAGACAGACAAGCATACACCATTAAGCTACCTACAAGATGACAGTACTATAGAAAAATGTAGCTGGAAGAGAATATATACAGTTCTACAAGTCATACAAGAAAATGATACACTTGTCCATTGGCCCAGAAATTTGTCTAAGAGTATGTTCTGAAGATCTGTCTCCTCCAATGTGAAATAGAAAGAAAAAGGTTAATCCCTCCAGCATTTTCCTAGAACTCAATGTAGAACAGTGTCCCCTAACCCCGCCTCCCTGGAATTCCTCTGTGTTCTAATCCCAGGAACTATATGGTTGGAAGAAAGGTTCTTTAAACACATAAGTAAATTTGAAATCTTGAGATAAGATCATCATAGATTCTCTGGATGGGTCGTAAATCCACTGACAAATGTCCTTGTAAGAAATGGAGAGAACAGGGACAGTGAAATGGTTCTGTACTAGGTAAAGGTGTTTCCTTCCCAAGATGTAAACCTGATGACCAGAGTCCTATCCCACAGCCCACACACAGGTAGAAAGAACCAAGTCCATAAAGAAGCCTGAATGCACTAGTACGAACACGCACCCACATACACATCACACACACACACACACACACACACACACACACAGTAATAACAAAGAAAAAGAAAAAGAAACTGGGAGGAAAAAAGAGAAACATGGGAGAGGTCATTTGAATAGCAAGGTGGAGGTTA